GCTCCAACCCAACCCACAACTCATGCAAATACATCCACATCTATAACACTGTATAACAATATGTATGAAATGTGCATAACTTTGTGTTATTGCATTAGACATACAATTCATATGCAATAACAATGTAATAAACAATAAATTATATTAAAAGTATAGTCCAAAAGGAAATAAAAAAACTCTTTTATATAGTGTTTCATTGGAATAACGCGTTTAGTATATTATTATTTGCATTAATTTTTTGTAGTCTTATTGTTTCACATAAAAGTACAGTCAAGTGTGGATGTTATCAATTTAAGACCAAAACACTAACCAACTCTATACTAACTAATGCTAAATTGCATGGATATTGTGAATGTGAAATATATACCAGTATTTCTGTTTATAATTAAAACATTAACCCAAAAATTGGGCCAACAATTGAAAATATATATTTACATAAAGTAATGCATAACAACTACAAAATATTATTTTAACTCTAACTGTCATTCATTCAAGAATTATCTACTATTAAAATAAAGTGGTTTAGTGTTAGTATTATTCACTATTTACTTATTATATATATTGCGATAAAAAGGCATAACACTATTATAAGGGTTAAAATGACAGCAATTTTTTTCTGTAAAACTTTTATGTATTTTGTCTCAAATATTTAGTCGCTATGGAGAGGGAGAAAACGCTATCGTTTTAATATTTATACAGTATATCTCATAAATACTATGTTATATAACAAGCAATACATTGAAAATGTATGGATAAATCAGTAATTCATTTGTGGCAATACTTTAATGACGGTTTGGATGAGACACGAGAGTAGGGATGGAAAGGGAAGGCAATGGGAGAGACAGACAACAGACTCATAAATGGATTCAAATGCTTAGCTCTGTATATAACACAACGAATCCCGTATTCAATGCAAAAAATATAAATACATTTTCAAAAAGCAATAGAGAAAGCGATTTTCTTAACACAACTTTTTGCCATAAAAACAAAACTTATTATTTGTATTTCAAGGCTTTTTATAATAACGAGAAGTATATCATTAAAACTACTTTCTCTTCAATACAATTGCACTTCGTTTAAGCCATTTATTATCTCAACTAAATAAACCCATTTCTAATTCAACAGTCAATTCATTTCAATATATTCGTTGTAATTATAGTTTCCAATCATTTGGTGAAAAAACAAATTTCTAAATATTTTCAATCAACAGCTAAATAAAAACATCGAGAATATGAGTTCATTATAACGGGGGTTATCCGTAATATTCCTACACTAATACATGTTATACACTGTACTAATCTTTTAACTGTTAAGCATGTATTTAAAACTTGTATTTAACAGTTTTAATACATTGTATGTGTAATATTAATAAAAACTTATAATTTGCTAATATTTTCGTGATAATTGAATATTTAATATATTCAGTGAAAAGTGCAATACATTTGACACAAGTCTTAAACGATGTGTTTTCTACATCTCATCAAAGCTTTAATTAAATCCCAAATTATAGGCAAATAACCAGTAATTAATTCCTTATAGCCTTTCGATCGCATCAATCCATTAATAGCTATATATTTATATATCATTGCATTTATTATTTTAAACACTAATTGAAATACAAAAATCAATTTAGTCTTGAGTTCAATATCTTTAGGTATTGTTAATATGAATAGCAATAACAGACATAACATAATGAATGTCTGAAATATTAGGTATTGATTTCAAACATCAGACAAAACAATGAATTTTAAATGAAAATCAATGATAACGTAAACGCTATATCGTATACAATATAATACAGTAATCATAATAATAGCTCAAAATTGAAATTGTCTTTTGAGGGCAAATGTGTCAACAAAATAGCAAAAAAGTAAATCCAAAACTAAAACAATTCAATGCATTACTCAATCAAAGTTTTGTATCAAATGAATGTCAACTAATCAACGGTTTTGCGAGCAATCAATGCATCCATACATTCACAACACAACCTCTCATTCAGTTCACAATTAAAACACATATTTATATAACATTTGCTTTTCGTTTGAAATGCATTTGTTTTTCAATACATTTACAGATACTGTATATAAACTCATGAATCCTCCGAGAAATGAGGGCTGCATTTGAGAGACACATCCAAATGTGTAGACAATGTGTATATTGAGTGACATTTAAGGCTTACCTCTGAAATGATGGACACAAATGATTATTCAAATGATTGTTGCAATCGATGCCAAACAACACAAGACAACAAGTATTGGATGGTATGAGCGGTCAGTGTTGGCACTGATAGCAGGGATCGGACGTACGAGTAGTCACTGTCTGAGGCCTGCAGTGTTGGGCTATGTTTAGGGCGAGGCTCAAAACAACACAAGACAACAAGTATTGGATGGTATGAGCGGTCAGTGTTGGCACTGATAGCAGGGATCGGACGTACGAGTAGTCACTGTCTGAGGCCTGCAGTGTTGGGCTATGTTTAGGGCGAGGCTCACAGTCAACACACACTACACAACACTCCATACACTACACAGTGTGTACTGCCATAGCGTTATAGCAATGGCCGGCATTGAGGCGGTCTCTCACAGACCAAACACACATTACACGCCATTCAGACATAACGTGCGCCCAAACCATAGCCCCCTCGCCATAGAGTGCCGGCCAATGGCGCGAATGGGGGGCCGACGTACTCATTGGCCGACACTTTACAGCATTGGGTGTGAAGTGAATGTATGGTCCGATTGGCGCACATTTTTTGGGCACACATTTGGCGCGCGAAACGAATCGCTGGCGAAATGTTTAGTGCAGTGAATGCTTAGCACTGATTGGCTGTCACTTAGCTATGCATTGGGCGCCAAAAACATTGACCGCTCTCTCAGTTCTCGCAGACAATCGCTTCAATCCATACATACATTGACTCGACTTTTAATTGTCTCACACTTTAAACACATCACTCGCGAGAAGAACACATCCATCGCCACCGACGACAACATATTCACCACAAGTTCCGCACGTATTGAGCGAAGAGTCTTTGATCTGAAGAGTTGTCGAAGTGTTTGGAACTGAATTGCGAGCGAAGACACCATTTGGAGGGACGAGAAGACAATGAGTGCCACAAACTATGACTCGGTGTCGAAGAAGAAGAAGTTTGCCATCGATTGGGCCGAACTCTGAGTCGAAGTGTTTGGAACTGAATTGCGAGCGAAGACACCATTTGGAGGGACGAGAAGACAATGAGTGCCACAAACTATGACTCGGTGTCGAAGAAGAAGAAGTTTGCCATCGATTGGGCCGAACTCTGCGAATCGGACGAAGAGACGGAACAGCAGTGGTCTGAACTCTTTGACCGCATGTTAGGCCAGAAAGTGGACGACGCTATCGAACAACCCATGGATAGCAGGGATGAGGACATCGAGAATGTGGACAATAATGCAGACAATGGCGGACACAATGAGCTCAAGAGGAAGTTGGCGGCCATCGAAGACGCGGACGAGAATATGACTGAATGTATGGTCGAAGAGAGTATCAAAGAGTTGGACTCTGGGCTCGGCGTCAGTGAGTTCTCGAGCGAAGACTTGCGACTTTTTCCGCCAATCAGTTCCACTCCAAAGTGTTTGACCAAAAGTACCGCAAATTCGGACCAAATGTACGATATATTCAATTCTCCGAAATCGTCGCCAAAGAAGTTGCGCGAAGAGAGCGAAGACAACAAGAGCTTTGAGTTCAGGACTCCGAAGACTAGTCGCGTCCGAAGAAGTATTTTCGGGACCAACTCTCAGAACCGAAGAGTGGCTTCTCGTGGGTATTCACACGACAGACCCTTCGACTCGTCGGTGGAGTACGAGACGGATATGTCGATCATTCGCCGGCGACAGAAGCAAATAGATTACGGCAAGAATACCGTCGGTTACCAGAAGTACACAGAAGTGACGCCTAAGAGTGGCCGCAAAGCCGACGATCCCATCACTCCCGAGAAGTTCGTCAAATACAGCCGTCGCTCATGGGATCAACAAATCAAGTTATGGCGCAAACGGCTCCACGAGTTCGACCCCCAGGACGTGAAGGCCGCTCAAGACATCGATCTCTCGGACTTCCTGTCCGACACGTCGTTCGACGACATGTAGTGATGGCTGGGAATGGGTTTCGCAGTGAATATATATTTATAATCAGTGATCGATTGACACGAATGTGTTTTTATTATTTATCTTTATTTAAGGCTTTATCACATCATATACTGTATTGATATATAATTTTACATTTAATGTCATTTATTCCATACATTATTTCTTTTGCTTTTTTAGTAGTCATACAAATATTTTAAATATTGTTTTCAAAACTATTTTATTATCATTTCTACTGACAATTTCATTGTCTGAATAAATCAATTTTCTCTTTCAATAAAAAAAGTGGTTTTTTGTTCATTAAATGATTATTAATTAAAAATAGAGAATTGAATAAAATATTTTGAATCATTACTGCATTTTGTTTGTTATATTAAACTAAATGTCAGATTATATTATCGATTAATGGATTGATTGCACCTCAAGATTATAGGAAGAGCTAAAAAACAGAATTGTTATTAACAGTAATCAAACATCAATTGCATCGACAAATCCAGTCGACAATCGGTCGCGTGTTTAGGAAGAGCTAAAACTTATACATAATTAGCACTAATTGTTTGCAACAAAATGAGTCGAAGAACCGGTGTTTACACACAAAATACATATCAGTCAATACATATGATATACCATAGCATTTGTACTGCTCGGCCATCAATGATCATGTTTAACATTAACACTCATTTACATTCTTCATTTGTCAAAAGCATATTTCAAAATAATAGTAATCGTAATAATAATGATAATAATTAATAATCAATAATAATAATCGTAATAATCAATCAATAATAGGAATAAATAATATTCAATTAAAAAATAATTTACACGAATATTATTCATGAGATTTGTTTCCAATGATACGATTGAATGAATGAGTAAACCATACGTTTATTTGCCATTGATTTTCAAATTTTTTTCTAATTATTTAATTTACTAAACAATACTGTAATTCATTTGAAATAAAACCCCAATTTTGATTGTCTTAACTCTATTATCGCCTAAATTACAACCAATTGTTGATAAATAATGATAACTTTGTTTTATAGAAAACAAGTATTAAATAGAGTGAAATTCAGTGAATTGAGCACTAAATGAAAAGGTATTGCATAACAGACACAGTATTGTTGAGAGCAATTAAAAGGAGGACATTTGGAGAGATAGGCAGAGAAATAGAGGCAAATAATGGGCAAAAACGCCTTCACATTACTCATGTGTTTCATAATCGTGTCATCGAAAGTAAATCATCAAATGTTAACTCAATTTTCTTATACCGATTAAGGCCTGAGTCACAGATCCATAGGTTGTGGGGGTTTGGGAGGGAGTTATGGGTGGAGGTTATGGGGGTTTTCATGTTTTTGTTGTTTCGGTGAGCGATTCAAATATCAATCAATTCTTAAATAAATGCTCGTTTACTATGGAGTCTCAGACCATTCGGTCAAATATACAATTAATAAATAACAATATAATAGCAAAATAACGATTGGTTTTGAGGCATAAAACTTGTTATGAGATCTGAAATAAGTTCAAAATAGTCTATATTTACAAATAAAAAACATGTAAAAATCCATTCAAATCGATGGGTTAACTCTAAATGTCTTATTATTTTGCGTTAACTATAAACTAACGATTCAAGAGAATCAATATTATAAGGAATGCCTTCATTATAGACCAAAAAGTGGTTTCTATAATAAAAGACTTTTTAATTCATAATATTTACTCTCTTTAACGATAGCTTTTAAAATTATTAAATAAAAATAAAATTAAAATAAACGGAAATAAGTAAAGAATTGATTAAAGAAGTATTTGTCACTGGGATTAGGACTCTATGAAAGTGAAACTGAGGTCCAAACGGTTATTACAAATACTTAAGTTGTGTTACTTTTCCATACAATAACATTCAGAACTGCAGTAAAATATTACATCAATTATTGTACATTAAAAATAAGTTTTTTGTTTCAATTATTATTTAGTTGTGATTATGTGATGAGAACTTGCATTAAATTGTATTAAATGGCACTCAATATCAGATCAATCGGACTCGTGATCGTTAATAGAGGCGTCGCCCCTACATATGGGACACGTTCTGTTGGTCTGTAATGCAAACAATGGGTTAGATGTGGTTGAAGGCAATCACAGACACTATTATAGTCTATAATACATACCTTAAGCCATTTGTCAACACAACGGACGTGGAATTCATGAGCGCAGGGAAGAACTCGAAGGTTTTGTTTGGCCTCGAAGTCACACATGCAGACAACACAAGTGGTCTGATCTGATTCGTGAGCGTTGTCTGGTTTGTAGCGATACGACGGCAACTGTTCGATGTCACTGCGGGCCAGACCTCTGGGCTTCGCTTCGCCCAGACGTTCGGCTAAACTGAGTAACGCCTCGTAGTTCTCGGCTTCGGGCGACTCGGGGTTAGTGACAAAGTCGGCGACACCGAAAGAGCCCGGCTGTAAGTGCTGGTGCTGTGGGTTCGAGAACATGGCGGCCAACACGTGAAACATTGTCGGAAAACTTTGATTAGAGACTGGAGGCGAAGCGGTCGGTGGGATCGACATTATGTTCTGATAGGCGGGCGGAGGCGCCGGTTGTGGTGCGTTGAATGAATGCGAGCGCTGAGAGCGCCGATGATTACCACGTCTGGCCATAAGGCGAGGACTTTGTATGCATAGGTACTCATTGAGTTGTCCGTTGTCGACGTGCATAAAGTTGGCCACACCTGGAATGGAGATGTGATGCAATGGCGACGACGGCTGAATGTATTGCGAACTGTGCGAAGTCGATGATCCCAGATGTGGGTGCGAGTGGTGCGGGTGTTGTTGCTGTTGGTACTGTTGCGACGCCGCGGCAGCCAATGTGGCTAAGTTGAGAGGTAGGTTCGGGTGATTGGCGTGACTGTAGGCGCGAATACGGCTCGACTCCAAGTCTGGCATTAGTGTCGGTTCGTTGAGTTGAGCTCCAGAGGCGGTTCGGCGATACGAATTGGCCAAACCTAACGGGAAGTTCTGTATAGGAGGCGCCTGTGCTATGTTGTATTGTCGCGCACCCGGAGGACCAAATAGGGAGGCAAATGCCTGACCATTACCTGAAGGGGAGACCTGAGGGTTGGGAACAATGAGTAATCAGTACAAAATGGCGATTGCGGTGATGGGCTCGGGAACAGACCTGAGGTGATGCTAAGCGCAAGTGATGGAGACAACACATACAGACTGATTGTGAGGCAATATTCGGATTGTGAGGTGTGTTGTGAGGGTTGGCTGCGATGTGCGTCCGATATGAATGAGATCCGGAATGAGAATCAATTTGATGGTTGGGATGGTTGGGGTGATTGGGATGACTGGCATTCAGTAGTTGTGCATAAACTGCATTCGCATTTGAGGCCTGAGTCGGTTGCGGACTATTCTGATGGCTTAGATGAGCGTTTCGGTGATTGGTTTGGTTTTGGTTGCGGTGACTGTTGGCCAGAGATTCGGAGTCATCGAACATATAGGTTGGCGTTATCGGCACCGAACCCACGAGACCTGGAAAGCCACCAATGCTTGACTGACATGTGTTTTGATTTTGAATGTTTTGTATAACTGGTGGCGAAGTGCGCGCATACAGACAGCAGCGACGACCCGATGGACTGCTTCGGAGTCGGGCAGCGCTATACCGGTCGCCGTTCAGAGACGGGTTGTGTCCGCCGTTGGCCGCCATCGGGTTCGCGGGTCGGCGAGGGTTGACGGGCGGCGGCTGAGAGTTACGGCTCCGACTCCTCAGGTTTCGGTCGGACGTGTGGTCCATCAACTGGGGGTTGAAAGTCAGGCCCCAACCCGACTGCGAACCACTCTCTGACTGTGCATTCATTGAGGTTCGCCTTCTTTTCCTACTCGGGCTCTCACTCTAACCATACATTCAATACACAAACGTATCGATCAATACTTCAATCAATTTAAATATATACACTTTTTTCACTATCCGTTTCCCAAACCATTGCTTACGAAGAGAGCCAATGATTGGACGGATAGTGAAAGCGTGAAAGTAATAACAAGTGGAGAGACAAACCTGTCTTCCGATGTTGTCGTTTGAGTGTTGGATGTGTTGGAAGTGATTGGGAGAGTGTTGTAAGTGTGGAGAGTGTTGTAAAACCATTGTCTCAACTGAGAAATCAATTCAAATTAAATCCAATATTCAGCACAAAAAATATCTTAAATATCAATATTTCGACACAATATAGAGGTTATAGTAAATGGCATAAGAAATGGGTTCAATCGGTGCCTCAATTGTGTTCAAAATGGGCTTAAATTGTGATCAAAATCAATATATTTGTGGCCAAAGAGGAGTGAAATGAAGAGTTTGAGTCATTTTCAGCACATTTTATATCGAAATGCGTTTCAATTTATAGTGATTTTAATAACTGTTTATTCAATACTTAACTATCGGTTACTAACGATATATCGGAAATGAATATCTATTTTGATATTTATTAACATTTATTTCAAATACAGACAGAAATTGTGAATTCAATTGAAAAAGCGATTTATAAATCACAGCAAATGAATGGCAAAACACAACACAAACACACATTTCTCACAATTATTTCCTTTCTTTGTATTAGATTTGAATGAAAGGAAAGTTTGCCTGAATTTCAATCATTAAAACCAACTTTCATTTCATTCACAATAAATATCTAACCCTTTAATCGTTAGCACAAAACGTAACACTAGTTTTCACCCAAAAACCCATTCAAAAACACATCACTATTGGATTGATTGAATTTCTTCTCTAATCATTAATCCCATCACTAATCCCATCGATTAGTTAATCCACAAGTGATGGTCACATATAATATTGTGTATTGATTTGAATGAAGCGCTAATGAGTAGTGAATTATATATGAATATATGATTCAAAACTAAGCGCTCAAAACATAAGCATTTAAAACACATAAAAAGCGAGAAATATAATGAAAATTGTATTGAAATTGCATTGAAATTGCAATGAAAGCGAGACTTACTTTCAATGGACTTAATACGAGTTTTAGGCAAATGTTGATTACGTTTTCGCATACAATCGATGCAATTGTCTTAACATTTGTCACAAATAAACCACTGGTTTTGCTGAAGAAGAAACCGATTCACTGATTCACTGAATGGCTGAAAATGTCTATTTCTTGGACAACAATGAAGTCTCAAATACAGTACGAGATGTATGTCTTTGTGGAGTTTGTTTGGCACAAAGCTCTCACTCTCTCACTGCTGGCTCTCACTGCCTGTGCCACTGCCTAACTGAGAGACTGGCAGCGAGTTTACAGCCAGAGTATAGCGTTATAGCGAACATACAAACCAAGTGAAAACTCTCATACCATACCAATACCAATACCAAAACTCTCATACCAGCGCTCAGACACAGCATACTATGCCATACAGTGTACATACAGTGTAGTGTTGGGCGTATGGACTGCACACTCACTCCAAGGGCATACAGTTTGCCATTGCCTTCAAATTGAAGGCTTCAATGCAGACACACTAAGGCTTTACCTCAATTCACCGTACATTTCATACATTTCCTCAACACAGCCCTAACACAGGGCTAACACAGCGACAACACAGCCCTAACTCTCAAACACTAAATTCACATATTTTTACTTAAATTATGAAATTCAAGTCACTCTACGGCAGAAGGGAAGGGAGGGCTAACCCCAGGGCTCACATCATTACCAACGATACCAGTCTTACCATCTAGTCGTCAAAATTGGCTCAAAAAACATACATTATTTAATCCCGACTTCGAGTCTCAGTTCTAATCGATATTTTTAACTCCTCTGAGATTATCGACAGAAAAAAATACAGAATATTTTCAATGAATTTCTATCAAGACTTATGGCTTACGATCTGAAAATGCATCGAAAAGGACTCTCTCTCTTCAAATCACCTTAACTTAAACTCAACTGTAAATTAGGCACCGATTGTATTGATTTTGGTTATAAGCGAGAAAAAAGTACCCAAAAACTATTGATTTTACATTTTAGGCCAATTTTTTGCATTCAGAAAAAACCCATAGAAAGCCTTTGGAAATAATGGTGAAAGTGTTTAATTGGCAAAAGCAATGCAATTATGATAAATATTTGTCACAATTTATTGCCGATAATTGCGTTAATTTAGAAACTTTTTTCGCTTTTAATGTTTAATAAGCTTTGATTTGAATTGCGATATATTTTTTTGTGTTAAGATTTAGTGGAGATTTTTGTGTTAAAAGCCGAGACTTGACTCCAATACTAACCAATGCTAACCCAAAGCCATTCTAAGCTTTCAGTTCTGAACTAAAAGCTAACAAAACATTGGATTTTGTTTGAAATGTTGAAAAAAGTGTTCAAAAACTAATGATTAATACAATTGAATGAAAAGTACAGTAAAAATCATATGATTTTATGATTCAATGCTTTCGTTCCCAAAACCTATGCTTTAATTCAATGCGTTAGATGTGAGCGCAAACTCGAGGCACGGCTCGAGCTTTACATACATATGGGTTCTCAAGGACTATAGCTATCGATTGTAATGAGAAAACTCCTAAAAGGCATTCATTTCTCACTTTTCTGGCAATTAATGAATGAAAAAATATTTATTTTAATGAGTTTTTGCATTTAAAAGATGCATTGAATATGCGATAAGATGTTTACAATGTTTGTGTGAATACTAGCTATGATTTGGTCATTTGGTCACTACTTGTGCGCCAACGACTCAATGTTGAGTACGAGAGTAGTGGAGAGCGAGCCTCGAGTCTCGAGCCCTTTAAATGTGTCAATCGATTGAATGCATTGCTTTCAGACCTTCTCATCCAATGAGACGCTCGTCAACACAACGCAAACCATTCAATGAATAACGTCTAAAACAATGCATTCATTTCACTCACATTTACATATATTTTCTTAAATGTTACCATAATTTGCAAATTAATTAGTATTTAAGACACGAATAGAAAATTGTTGCGATCATTGAATCGACCGATCAATTGCTGGACACATAAAATATAATTGAATTAATTTTCACAATACTTGACGTAATATGTGTTGAGAGATATTGTATTGTGTGATATGTTTTGTAGTGAGTAGTGATCGTTAGTTCCCTTTAAACTCAATCTTCCCGTAAGAGTTAATTGAATTAAAATAATTAACAATTAATTGATGACATTATTTGAAGTTCTTTTGGATTGTATGTAAAATATTGACCGAAAGGACGAGTTTTTAGTATTATTTGCGATAAATTAAGTGTCGATTAATATATCGGTAGAAGTGTTGCGGGAATTGCGATGCCTTTGAAAGTGTCGTTTGAAAGTACGTCTAGTATTGAGTCTATAGTGTTGTCATACATTTGCAGCCATTTTTATATTCATCTAATGTTTGTCTTTTAAATATCTGTGAAATGTTTCGTTAATTTAGTCTTAAATTTGATTTAAATCTAGTTTTAA